GTGTTTTGAGCTTAGTGTTGATGGAGATTCCCGAGTGGAAGTGTGATAGTGTCACTAAGGACTTTGTGGTTGGGTTGCCTAGGACAGCTAGGAACAGTGACTCTATCTGGGTGATTGTTGAAAGGTTGACAAAGTGTGCTTCGAACACGTACTTAATTGGATCCATTTTGGAAACCAACCAAGTAGTATGCCTAATCATATACTGCCTGAGCCGTTGTGTTGCCCATGCTAACGCACAACATGTCTTTTCTAATGGTGTGTAGCGGGTTTCGTAGTCAAGAAATTTCTTGCTCAGGTAGTAGATGGCTCGTTCTTTCTTTCCCGTTTCATCTTGTTGTCCTAGCACACATCCCATGGACTCATCAAGCACGGTTAAATAGAGGATTAATGGTCTTCGCTCGATAGGTGGCACCAATACTGGTGGATTGGCCAAGCACTGTTTGATCTTGTCGAAAGCTTGTTGACAATCCTCATTCCAAGATTCGGAATGATTCTTGCGCAACAGCCTGAATATTGGTCTACATGTGTCGGTCAACTGTGCGATGAACCTTGCGACATAGTTCACCCTGCCAAGGAATCCTCTTATCTCTTTCTCGGTCTTAGAGGAGGCATTTCCATTATTGCCTTCACTTTATCGGGATCCACCTCTATGCCTTTTTCACTGACAATGAACCCGAGAAGCTTACCCGACCGAACTCCGAAAGTACACTTAGCCGGTTGAAGCAGGGGTGTACTTATTGATTGGGATTGATTTAAGAGAGTTTTATTAGAGAAGTATTTCTTGGACAGCGTTAGATATGCTAAGGAGGCTAAGTTCATGAGACTGCAACAGGGGAGCATCTCTATTCCAGATTATGCTACGAGGTTTGAGCATCTGGCTCGTTTCTACTCTCCTTGGGGATGTAGGAAGTTGCGGAGGGGTTGAGGCATGAGCTGAAGAGGGTCATAGTCCCTATGTCTATAATGGAGTTTCCTGCCTTGGTTGAGAAGGTAGAGACTGCTGAGAGATTGGAGGGTGGTAGCAGCGACAAGGCTGTTAGAGTTTATGAGGGATCATTTGGATCTAGGAGGGGATGTCAGCAGAGAGGACCTTATGACAAGCCTGTTTAGTCTCAGAGAGAAGCTGTTAGTAGGGGACCTCGTCCTGCTACTCCTCAGGGTGGAGCACAGTCAGTGCAATGTTACAGATGTGGAGAAGCCCACATGGTTAGAGATTGTCCCCATCCGAAGAATGTTTGCTTCAGATGTGGTAGGCCAGGCCACATCTCTAAAGATTGTTAGACACCGTCGAATTCATCTGGGAGTGTCCCGGGGCCACCCAGGCCTATAGCTGTGGGGAGAGTGTTTGCATTGTCAAGTGTAGAGACTTCCACTTCATCAGATTTGGTGAAGAGGAAGGGGAAAGTAGCAGGTGAGGATATTTTGTTCCTGTTTGATTCTGGTGCCATACATTCATTTATTTTTTTTTGATTGTGTGGGGAGATTGGGTTGTCGGTGTCTGCATGGCACGGTGATTTATATGTATCTATTCTGGCTTTAATTTCTTTGGTGACATTGGAGATGTGTGTAAGATTCCTGATAGAGGTGTTTGGTAGGAGGTTTTGAGTGAACCTGATTGTGTTACCCATGGTGGATATCGACATAATTTTAGGGATGGATTGGTTATCTTCCCATCACATCCTTATAGATTATGCTCAAAGAGAGTTGGTACTTCCTCAGTTAGAGGATGAGGTGTTGTTGTCAGCGGGGATTGATGACAGAAATCATGTTTTGTGTTATTATGACAATAGCCTTCGTTTTAATTTGCACTAAATTTATGTTCCATAGTATGTCCAGACTATGGATGTTGATCTGTTCTGTTAGGAGTCTCGATCCTATGTTATTTTGAAATATTGTGCTTACATTGAGTTCCTATCAGATATTTGGCTGTATCATGCTAATTAATTTCACATTTAAAGTCTATATGTATTCTCTACATGAGTAATAGCATGAAGTCATGGGACTTTTTTTTTTGCAATAATATTTTTTAAAAAAAATTTACAAAAATGGAATCAGAAAGAATTTATTTAGCAGAGTAGCATTATTCACTGATGAGGTTCACCATTTACTTTTATGGGAACTAAATTCTAACCTCTTCCATTGGCTCCCGACGTGCATTGATGACGGTCGGAATTCGGTTCCCGAGGAGACAAATTCCGATCAACATTTTCCTTTTTTTTGTTTTTTTTTTGTTTTGATTAAATTGAATTTTTTTGAAAAAGAATTTATAGTTTTTAAAAATTAAAAATAAATGTAATATTTAAATAAAATAGATTTTGTATTATATAAATAAAATAAGTTAATTTATAAATTTAACAAGTTATAATGTTAATAAATAATAATTTTATTAACTTATATTTATAATAAATTAGAAATTTAATAAATTATTAATTAAAAAATTATAAATAAATTTAATAAGTAGTATGTATTATAAATAAATGTGTTAAAAATATTAATAATATTTACGAATAAAATATATTTTTAATTACTAATTTGAATAAATATTATTTGTATAATTTAAATATTAGAAGATGAAAAATATATATGTTTAAATTAAGTTTAATAATTTTTAAAATTAATAAGATAGAAAATTTGTTAATTAAATTATTTATTATAATAAGTTTAATAATATTAAATATAAATGATTATGAATTCTTGTTAGAAAAAAGAAGAATATAAATAGAAAAATAGATAAAAGTTCTTTCATTATACTATTGATATTGTACTAACCGTATTTTACACCCGGGCTCCCAGCTCGGATTAACGATGCAAAGACATCCCCGGGCACACACTGAGCGATGTCAGCCCGGTACCTAGAGCGTGGCATCTGGGCGGATCACACCCGAACCCGGGGATCTCGTCCCAGACCGAAACTGCCCGCCAATTACGCCATATCATATCACAATATATCACACCATGACATATCTTATCTCAGGCCTAGGGCCCAATAAAACCCTAATCCACACAAAGGTACGCGCATTATATATACGAGATTATTATTCACACAAGCACTAACTTTAGCATCGGAGTCTCTTTTGCAGGTATCACCCCCACCTTGGAACACCAGAGTACCAGTGAAGGAGGCTCATCAATCTTACTGGACGAATCATCCCTACGACCAAAATTCGGTAAGAACATTTAGCGTCCACCGTGGGGCCGATCGAGACGACTCTTATCGGGCACCTGCATGGTTTTTACTAAAAGCCACACCAGAAGTGCGACTGACAACACGGAGCACTCAATCATTATGGACCGCGACGCCACAACCTCAGGAGGATTGGTCAACCAAGTCGACCTAACAACCTTGAGCACGAAGAACGACAAGATTCGTGTTCAACCCCGACGGCGATACCCTGATCGCCCCTTCGACTCTCAACCTAACCCCGGTAGAGCAAAGCGAGGCGAGGCAAACCCGGGAGCAGAACCAACTCCCCTGCGGAGAATAATCGGTACGATTGCAAGAGGTTTCGCCGGAGGAGGCGTCAGCAACTCAGCCCGGAAAAAACACCTGCGTGAGATTAATCGCGTACATCTCACCACCCCCACTTCTCGCCAGAGCTCGCCGGCGATCACTTTCACCGACGACGACTATGTCGGGATCAACCCGGTTCAGGATGACCCCATGGTCATAGCGGTAGCACTGGCCAATTGGGAGGTCCACAAGACCCTGGTCGACCAAGGGAGCTCGGCCGACATTCTATTGGTCAACATTCCTCAGGTTAGATATCCATCATTCTCTCATACAGCCTCACACGGAACCCCTCATCAAGAGCGTCCACACTCGTGGGTACGTAGACCTACTGATGACCTTCGGAGCTCCTCCGGACTCAAGGCGAGCCATGGTACGATACCTACTCGTCGAAGCTGACGCCTCCTATAACATCATCATCGACAGACCAACCCTAAACCAACTTAAGGTAGTGGTATCCACTCCACACCTTACCATGAAATTTCCAGGGCACGACGGAAGGATCATCTCCGTCAGAGCAAACCAACAGGCAGCACGACAATGCTACGCGAACAACCTACAAACCACCTCGCCAAACGAACAACATCAAAACAACCTCAATGCTCTAGCTCACGCCGACCACGAGGAAGTCACCGACCTCGACCCAAGATCCGACGCTCACGACGAACGACCCAGCCCCGTCGATGAGCTCGACGACCTTCAAATCGGAAAGCTCCCCGGCCAAACAACGAAGATCAGCAGGTAATTGGCTCCCGAGCTGCATCAGCAACTCCAGGTGGAGATCCTCAAAAACGCGGACCTTTTCGCCTGGTCCAGTGCTGATATGCCCGGCATAGACGCCAACTTTATCTGTCACAGACTAGCGATACATAAGGAGGCAAAACCAGTCACACAGAGAAAGAGGAAGGTAGGTGGCAAAAGACGGGAAGCAGTCATCGCCGAAACACAGAAGTTACTCCACGCCGGCTTCATCCGTGAAGTCAGATACACTCCCTGGCTGGCAAACGTGATCCAAGTGAAAAAGACCTCGGGAAAGTGGCGTATGTGCGTCAACTATACCGCCCTCAATAAAGCATGCCCCAAGGACTTATACCCCTTACCGAGCATCGACAGGTTAGTCGACGGAGCCTCCGGACATGCCCTCCTCAGCTTCCTCGATGCCTATTCCGGGTACAATCAGATAATGATGTACCCACCTGATGAAGTACACACGTCTTTCATCACTGACCACGCCAACTATTGTTACCGGGTGATGCCTTTCGGCCTCAAAAACGCAGGGGCTACTTACTAGCGGTTGATGGATAAAGTGTTCCACCACCAAATCGGGCGAAACATGGAAGTATACGTGGACGACATGGTGGTCAAAACCGCCTCAGCAAAGGACCACGCTACCGACCTCGCCGAAGTATTCGCCCATATCAGAAAGCACAACATGCGCCTCAATCCAGAGAAGTGCGTCTTCGGCGTCCAGGGAGGAAAATTCCTCGGCTTCATGATAACCAACAGAGGGATCGAGGCCAACCCCGAAAAGTGCAAAGCCATCATACAAATGCAGAGCCTGCAAACAGTAAAACAGGTTCAGCGCCTAGTCGGGCGGCTGGTCTCACTGTCCCGCTTTATCCCCAAGCTCGCGGAGAGAGCGGGACCAATTTTCACCTTGCTAAAAAAGCCAAATAACTTTCTATGGACCAACCAGTGTGAGGAAGCCTTTCAAAGCTTCAGGGAATTCCTCGCAACCCCGCCAGTCTTACAGAGGCCGGATCACAGTACCGACCTCCTTCTCTACTTGGCGGTAGCGGAAAGCGCCATCAGTGTTGTCATCGTACAAGAGCATCAGCAGACGCAGACACCCATTTACTTCATCAGTCAGGTTCTCCAAGATGCGGAAAAAAGATACCAGATGGTCGAAAAGCTGGCGTTGGCCCTAGTCACCGCAGCCCGGCGACTCCGACCCTACTTCCAGAGCCACCAGGTAGTAGTGAAAATCGACTATCCCATCAAACAAATCCTACGAAAACCTGAGCTCGCCGGACGTATGATTGCATGGTCAATAGAACTGTCCGAGTTCATCATTCGATACGAGAGTCGCGGACCCCTGAAGGCCCAATGCTTAGCCGACTTCGTAGCCGAGCTCACACCGGCCTCTACTGAAACATCCCAAGCGTGGACCCTGCATGTTGACGGGTCCTCCAACTCCAAAGGAGGAGGTGCAGGCATCATTTTGGAAGGACCAAACCAAGTCACCCTGGAACAATCCCTCAAGTTCGGATTTAAAGCAACTAATAATCAAGCAGAGTACGAAGCCCTCCTCGCCGGCCTGAGATTAGCCCGAGACCTTGGGGCTCGAAGGGTAAATTGCAACAGTGACTCGAAACTTATGGTAGAACAACTCAATGGAACATACCAAACCAAAGACACCCTCCTACAGCGGTACTTCCATATCACATCCCAATAGATCTCATCTTTCGATGAGTTCTCAGTAAAACATGTGCCGCGAGAACAAAATGCCAGAGCAGACCTCCTGTCAAAACTCGCCAGTACCAAAAAACCCGGTCAACACCGAACCATCATCCAGGAAACCCTGCATTCACCTAGCCTGGAAGACAAAATTGTGAACGCCAACGACAGCGAAGAGCTGGGATGGATGACAGACATATGGAGCTACCTACAAGAGGGCACCTTGCCTACAGACACAGATGAGGCACGAAAGGTGAGAGTACGGTCAGCAAAATTCATCATCATCAATGGTGAACTATTCAAGCGGGGAATCTCCACTCCGCTACTCAAATGTTTGACCACGTCGCAAGCAACCTATGTCATCAAAGAAATCCATCAGGGAATATGCGGAATGCACACCGGGGCTCGCTCAATGGCAGCCAGGGTGCTCCGAGCCGGGTACTACTGGCCCACCTTAAAATCAGACTGCAAAAACTACATCCAGAAATGTAAGGAGTGTCAGCAATTTGGCAGCGCACACCGACAGCCCCCCGAAGCCCTCTATCAGATGATGTCAGCATGGCCTTTCTCCCAATGGGGAATGGACATCCTGGGACCATTCCCCCCGCGAAAGGCCAACTAAAATTCCTCCTGGTAGCAGTCGACTATTTTACCAAGTGGATTGAGGCATGCCCACTAGCTAAAATCACCACGGAAAACGTGCGGAAATTCACATGGAAAAACATTGTCTGCAGATTTGGGATCCCCCACACTATCGTCACCGACAATGCGCGATAGTTCGTCGCAGGGGAATTCGAGGACTTCCTCCGAGAGCTCGGAATCAAGCACTTTCCAACCTCGGTAGAGCACCCCCAAACCAACGGGCAAGCCGAAGCAGCAAACAAGGTCATCCTCCGAGAACTCAAGAAACGACTAGGGAACGAAAAAGGACAATGGCCCGACATGCTTCCCAGTATCCTCTGGGCGTATCACTGCACCCCTCAATCAGCCACGCAAGAAACACCCTACAGGTTAACTTATGGGGCCAACGCAATGATCCCGGTCGAAATCGAACAAACGTCCCATCGACAACAAGTCTTCAATAATGAACAAAACACCCACAAACTAGCAACCGACCTCGATCTGTTAGACGAGATCAGAGACGAAGCCAAAGTACACGAAGAGGCCTGCAAACTCCGAGCTTCCCGGAGGTACAATTCCCGAGTTAGACCCCGTTCTTTCCGAGCAGGCGACTTGGTATGGCGACTACTCAGGGAAGCCCGAAAAGACGCGACAGATGGGAAACTCGCACCCACTTGGGGCGACCCATTCCGAGTTACAAAAAACCTGGAAAACGGCGCCTACCGACTAGAGGAGCTCAACGAAACGCCCGTACCACAAACTTGGAATGCCACCCACCTCAAATTTTACTTCTAAAATTTGTAAAACAAACAGTTTTCGTCGATAAAACGAATCACCCTCTTTCCATCCTTCCTCCATTACTTGCACTTCCTTTTCTTTGTTTTCAAATAGAGGTCGAAAACGAACCTCATAACGATTAATAGAGGTCGAGAACAAACCTCATTACGATCAATGGAGGTCGAAAGCGAACCTCCTAACGATTAATAGAGGTCGAAAACGAACCTCCTAACGATTAATAGAGGTCGAGAACGAACCTCATTACGATCAATGGAGGTCGAAAGCGAACCTCCTAACGATTAATAGAGGTCGAGAACGAACCTCATTACGATCAATGGAGGTCAAAAGCGAACCTCCTAACGATTAATAGAGGTCGAAAATGAACCTCATTACGATTAATAGGGGTTGAGAACAAACCTCGTTACAACTAAGGGAGGTCGAAAACGAACCCCCTAAAAACAAATGAAGGTCGAACACGAACCTCCTAACAAACAATAGAGGTCGAAAACGAACCTCTTAACAACTATCTGGGGTCGAAAACGAACCTCATCACCCCTAATGGTCTCAAATAAAACTCGTCGAGACATAAATAAATCTACCACACAGCTTTAGGCAAAAAGCCAAAAAACAAACCCATGCCCTGACACGGCAAATTCGGGAGAAAATCAGCACTCACGTGCACAAAAATTACAATCCATATACAAAGTTAGAAACAAAAATTATATCCAAGTCACCCTATACTGAGGCATTGTCACTAGAACTATCCTCGATATCGTCCTCCCGGACTAGCCGCCCAAAGCGAACGACCTTTTCCACATGCATTCCGGAAAAGTCGAACCCCGGCGCGAGGAGCCTAGCCTGCCGAGCTGCCTTGAGGAAGCCTCTCTTGTGCTCCACCACGACCGCACGCTCAACCTCCTCAAGCCTCTTCCTCAACGTCGTATTCTCGGCCTCTAGAGCCGAAAGACTCACCCTCTGCCTGGCCACATCTACCTCCTTGCTACTAAGGACCACTTCGTCGCGAAGACGCTCCTCGGTTATGGACACCAGCTCGCCCCTCAAAAAAGTCACCTCTTCCTCCAATGAACGAACCTGGCTAGCGTAACCCTTATTAGCACGGAGAGCGTCCTCCAGCGATCCCCGAGTCTCGGCAAGGTCCCTCCGGGCCGTACTAAGCTCGATCCCTTGCATCTTCGCCTCGGAAAGGGTGGCGGCCAGAACCTTGTTCTCCTCCATCAAGGGCTGCACCTGGCCCTTCAGCTTCATCAGATCTTCCTGCTGCTTGGACCACTTATGTTTCCAATAGTCCACAATAGTCGTACCCCTCTGCAGAAAGATCTGGGCAGCATCAAAGCTCGCCATGGGCCCGGCAGATTCAAACATCGCCTGGTCGGCCGCACTCAGTGACCCCCTTGAAAAAAACTTTTCAGGCGTCAAGGAAGCGCTCCACCAGGAATCAACCTCCTCCAACGCACTCAAGTGCTCCAACCGCGTTGAAGCACCCTCCTGCGCGTAGCGATACGCAAGATAGGGGCGTCTTGGGGGCCCCCTCGCTGTAGAGGTTGGAACCCCGGAGCCAGGCTCCTCGTCACAAGGACCAGCCGAAGAAGAAAAACGCCCCGTCTCGGCCCTCGGAACACCAGCCCCTACCGCCGTTGACCTCAAAACCTTCAGAGCCCTCGCGGCCCTGCCCGCCTGCGAAAGACATACAACAGAAAAAGAAACGAGTTTGAGCAAACAAGTTTGAACCACGACAAACCAATAGGTCACAAGCATACAGGGCCTACCTCAACAACAGGAGCAACCCGCCCGATGGTTGGAACCCCCACGTCAGACGCCATACCAACCCGGTCGGCCCCTCTAGAAGACGACCCAACGACAACCTCCACCTACAATAAACAAGTCCACCTCAGGAAACCGAAGAAGACCATATACATATATGAAAACAATAAAAAAGAGAAGAAGCAACTCCTCGTTCAAAAGCCCGGACACATACCCCGGCAGTTGGGACGGACGGCCCGACAACGGTTGCCGCCCCCTCGGAAACTACCTGAGCCACCCCATCGGGCAGAGGTCTCCCGGGCGCGCCCTCCACCTCAGCACCAGAGACCCCAGCATTGGTCTCCTCCGCCTCGCGGAGGACAGTGACCTCCCGAACCTCCTGCGGAACCCTCTTCCTTTTCCGATTAACCTTCAGGGGAGGGACCTCTCCGTCTCCCGCAGCGTGGGGAACTGCAAGCTCAACAACATTGTAGGGATGGCGCTGCTTCCAGTCACGCCACAAATCCCTGCCCATAATACCTGAAAACAAAGGGCAGACTACGTCAGCAAGCATATAACCCTAGCATGTAAACGAAGTACCAAAAATCCTCACCCTCCAAATCTCTTTCTCTGTGCACCGAATGCTCGAGTGACAGGATGAGCTTGCAATCCAGCGGGCGAGGAAGAGCTTTCAAGGCATCAAAAGTAGCCGTCTCTGACGGCGTTAGATGTGAAGGGTCCACCCCATGAAACCTAGACGGATCACGACACCAGTAGAGGGGAAACCTCGGCAGCCCGCTGAAATAAAACCCCCCATCCTCCAAAGGGTCGACATCAACCAGGGTAACCCGGAAAAACTCCTGCCTATAATTTTTATACGATTGGGAGTAAGGAGTAAATAAACCCCCCTCTTTACCCCCACTCAAGGACAGAGTCCCGTACGGCGAAGCACCCACCTTCAACTGGTAGAAAGAGAGAAAAACCTGCAGGGATACCTCCATCCCTAGAATCGCGCACAAGACCTCAAACGCCCTCAGAAAACCCCAGCTATTGGGATGCAGCTGACTGGGGGCTGCATTAATGTAATTCAGAAAGTCGCACTCAAACGGCGTAAAAGGAAGACAGACACCCAAATCCTTGAAGAAACTCTGATACACATAGAAAGAGGGGGGGTCGGCGGACCTTTTCATATACACACCTTCACCGGCCGAACAAGGCTCCAGGCGGACCATCTGAGAAACGGAGGAATCACAAATCCTGTGCGCTTCCCAGAGCGCATCGACTTCCAAGCTCGAGTCAAAAACACTCGTAAACTTGGCCATTTCACGCTTTACCCACTCATAGCCAGGAAGGCCCAACTCCGAGTCCCCGGGCGGAGGCATCCCTCTTCCCTCCGCGGCGCCTTTCCCAACAACCACCGCCTTGCCACGCACTCTACCCCTAGCAGAGGTAGAAGAACCACCGCCATGACCACCGGCCATCAAGAAAACCCAAAGAAACGCAAGAAAGACAAAGAAAAAGGAAGGGGAGAGCAAGCGGAGACGAAACGTGCGCAAGAAGCTGAAAAACACGAAAAAAGTAAAGTGAAAGGGGGAAGAGGCGCGAGAAAAGGAAAAGCCTCTCCCCAAAATTCAAAACTTCCAAGCCATGTGCCAACCAAGGGGCACGCCTGGCAGCACATTAATTGCAAGACATCATCACATAACCGTCGCATCCTTCAATGCGTCACTCACACGTTCCAGAAATGGACAGTCGCAGCGCATGGCACCCCCTCAACGCATGCGGAAAAGCCACGCGCAAGCCCGGACTCAGCTCCTTAACTTACGATCTTCGGAGCTCGGGGGGGCTAGTGTACTAACCGTATTTTACACCCGGGCTCCCAGCTCGGACTAACGATGCAAAGACATCCCCGGGCACACACTGAGCGATGTCAGCCCGGTACCTAGAGCGTGGCATCTGGGCGGATCACACCCGAGCCCGGGGATCTCGTCCCAGACCGAAACTGCCCGCCAATTACGCCATATCATATCACAATATATCACACCATGACATATCTTATCTCAGGCCTAGGGCCCAATAAAACCCTAATCCACACAAAGGTACGCGCATTATATATACGAGACTATTATTCACACAAGCACTAACTTTAGCATCGGAGTCTCTTTTGCAGGTACCACCCCCACCTTGGAACACCAGAGTACCAGTGAAGGAGGCTCATCAATCTTACTGGACGGATCATCCCTACGACCAAAATTCGGTAAGAACAGATACTATTGATGATCACAGAGGGTGACGATAATTAGAAAGTAATTCATAAGTAATCGATAATTACATATATTAATTAACTATCCCTATAATGGTATACAGTTTCACAACGAGAGTGATGTTTGTTACGTGATGGATTTCTTTATTATAGTTATTGGTCTTCTAATCCAGGATGAACTTGCTGAGAATTTGAGGAACTACAAGATTTATTTGTCAAATTCGATTGATAGAAAGACCGCATATAACTTTGGGCTAAAAATGAAGTTGTAAAATTAACTCCAAATAAATTTTAAAAAATTCATCTGAAGTAGTTGCAAATAAATGTATTCTATCAATTATGTTTGCTTCAAGCATGATAGTACTACTTTGATAAATAATTTTTGTCGGTTCCATTTTTGTAAAAAAATTTTAAAAAATTATTATTACAAAAAAAAATTCAAGTCATGGACATGAGATTTTTGTTAGGAATTCAAGCTGCTAAAAAATAAAAACTGCTTTTGATGACTCAAGGTACTCATTAATTAAACTTGGTGTTTTTCTATCTTTGAAGACTTTGGACTCTTGGTTTATGGCAAACTTCAAAATTGAAAGTTCCATATTCCACTAGTATGAATTGTTACCATATGGTGCTATTATAGTGCTACAGTAAACTAAAAATATATATATAGAGAGATAGGAGAGATTCATTTATTTAAAAATAAGTTTATTTACATTTATTTTATTTTAATAATTTATTTTATTTATTAAATTATAATAATTTAACTGTTAAGTTAAAAATTTTAATATATAAATAAATTATTTTAATATTTTATTTTATAAATTCAAATTAACATATAAATTTTTTTAGCATTTGTTAATTTAAATTCATAAAATAAAATATTAAATAGTTTTTAACTTTCTAAAATTTATTGATTTCATTATATATTAAAAAGTTTAATTCAATAATTAAATTGTTATTAAAATAAGTAAATCTTTATATA